CAAAAAAAAAAAAAAAAAAAGGGAAAGGGGTATTAAGGGAGGAGCCAGCCTGCCAGAATTTAATACTATTGCGGAGGGAGGGCAAATAGTTTTGTCTATTTAATACTATATATAAGGTTAATAATGACTGTTAATGTTTGATTTACAAAATTAGGGCAAAGCATTGTGTCTATTAAAAATAATTTAACGATGAAATAAAGAGGGGAAAGAGAAAAAATTGTGGAAAAAGAGAAATGCAATTCCTGCTAAATGAGCCTGCCACGTCACCGGGCAAATGACTCTCGATTATATATAATATATATTATCAAATGGTTTCTATATACGTTATTTATATATTTTTGTAGTTGAAAAAGAAAATAATTAATTTTGATATGTAATTATACTTTAAATTTTGATACCATTGAGTAATTATTTATAAACTTTTCACTCTCCTAGAATTTTGTAATCTTTTTTTAAGGTATTTCTAATCCATAATGAGAAGTTTGTTACTTCCTCCGGTCCAAAATAAGTGATTTTTTTGGTTATTTTCACACATATTAAGAAATACACCTTTTAGCATTAATTAGCAATAAAATTCACCATATTAATCTTTACTATCTCTTCACATAAACACTCCTAACACATACTCCAACATTAATTACTCCAAGGGCAATGTAGCAAAAAAATAATTAATTCATTCTTGAAATCTGAAAAAACCACTTATTTTGGACCACAAAAAAAAAGCCAAAAAATTACTTATTTTGGACAGGAGGGAGTAGTAACTTTTTTTACAACACAGAACTGCTTATATTGTTGCTCATAATACAATTTCCGAAAAAAATATTTTTAACTTACAAAAAATTTGACCAAAATATACTTTTAATTCTCAAATTATAATAATCCATTATAACTTGAATGTAACTTGTTTGCAAATGAAACACCCATTCCAGTCCAAACTCCTAAAAACCCTAGTACAAGAGTAGGAGGGCAAACCTAAATTATTGGAGATTGAATTAATAAATGGATACCCAATTTCGTGAATTCGCATCTGATACTATGGAGGGAATACAAAAGGCTTATCATAGTGCGATGTCTCAGGATCCAAGTAGCAGCTTAAGCTCCATTTCTGCTGCTTTTCAAAAGCCTACCGTTAAATCTTCAGGCTCTGTTTCTGTTTCTTCCGCTGATCAGTCACAACTCTTGCTTACTCGCTCTCCCAGGTATTTTATCCTTAAGTTTCTCAGTTTGCTCTTCATATATATGTATTTTTTATAATTATGGTGTCTGAGCCAATTTGCTCAGTTTATTCTTTATATTAGTGAGCCAGCCTGAGTGTCTACCAAAAACGTCTCTCTGTCGTTCCAGGGGTAGGGGTAAGGCTGCGTACATCTTACCTCCCAGACCCCACTTGCGTGTTGTTGTTGTTGGTGAGCCGAGGGTCCTCTCTACCTCCACAAGGTAGGTAATGTAGGTAGGGGCAGAGGCGGATCTAGTATTTCTAGTACATAGTTGCACTACTTAAAGAAAAGGAGGAAAAACTATATTAAGTGGGAATTGATCTATATTCCTCTTGATAAATAACTCAATCTTCAACCAAGTGCACCATGAGTGCAAACAACTAATAATATACCAATTCTAAAAAACACGTACATAAAATATCTAATTTTGTGGAGAGATCATGGATTTACGTGACCCATAATCTCCCCTATAAATTCGCCCCTGTTAGGGGTAAGGTGTATACACAATGCCCTTTCCAGATCCTACACCGTGGGAATACACTGAGTATGTTGATGTTATTGTATTCTTTATATTGGCTTATTTTATTTTATTTTTTTCAATTTGACCCTGTCTAGCGTGATGTTAATCTCGTATCTTTGATAATCTTTAGCATCTTATTGCAAGGAATGTAACAAATGGAAATGGGTGATGCTCTTATGGTAAAGCTGTATATCTTTGATTGCAGACAAGCAGTATCACTATGGACTTGTTCAAAGCTCTGTGCCATTTGCTTTGTTGCTGGAGTAGTTGTTGGTTATACACTGAAGCGCCGGGTACGCCGATGGGCTTCCAAACTTCTCAAGGGGTTGAAAGACTAACAAGTTTTGGATATTTACAGTTTCTTAGTCTAATTGCGTTTTCCATGTAGGTAACACATTGTACTGTTATTTTCAATGATATGCAGAAGTCTTTTATGATTCTCTGCTGCACAAGCGCTGAAATGTATTTATATTCACTGTTTCCCTGTGTTTGATGCAAAAAAAATATATATCAACTTTCTTCAGTATTCTTTATTGACAGCTCTCATCCACTCTGTAATTTCTGATATGTCAATGAACCTTTTTGACAACATAAGAAAATATAACAATTTATAGAAACAAATACACGAGACAATTTATTTATCTTGCAGTAAGAAAATAATCCTTTCTATCGCTGGTTAGGATACTTGATAGATGTAACTGCCTTGTAGTAGCTTGATTTCTCATGTGCTTACCCCTCATAAAGCAGCATCACATCTTCTTCCTTTTTTTTCTTTCCATATTACTTCCTTCTCTTGCGCTCTTTTCTTTAATTATCCTCTTCATCCTTACACTTGCTGCTTAGTGATATTCACACATGCACTGAGGATGTGATATACCCTTCTTCACACCCTGCACATAGGTGCATACTAGTGGGACAATATTGTTCCTATGTTTTTGACAGTGTAACGACAGACATGATTGCTTTCTTGTATCAGTAGGAAGATCTTTTTGTGGAGATCCCAAAAGGACAAATATTTACATTTTCCCATAGATAGAACTCTACTCTTTTGATTTCTTTCTCTATTATAACTTGTATGATATATGCATTTACATTTCTCTGAATCAATGTGTATTGGTACATGCATTCCTCTTAATCTATGGACAATTACAAAAAAGAAAAAAGAAAAAAAAAGTATACTGTGTCGCTTATTTGCGAAATTTGCTATTTCAAAAGTACTCCTTGTGGAACTCAAATCTTGTGGATGTCTTGTAAGTCAATTCTTGTGATAGCTTCCTCAATTCCTTTGCCAAGGCAGGCAACCCGCAATAGAAGACTCCTGTGAGATCATGTGTAACTATGTTATTAACAAATCTAGCTTGATTGATTAAAACTCTTCCTTTCTTTTTAGCTCTTTTTTCCTTCCCCTCTAAAATGCAAAATGTTATCACGGAAAGCCCCGTTAGTTACTCCTTCCTTCTAAATGGTCACGAAGAAACTAACATAGTTTCTCGTATCAGCTTGATTCAACTGTATGAGTTTTTTTTTTGAAGTTTAAAGAACACATTTTTCATCTCATCTGTTACTACCTGTTTAGTTTCCTTCAAAAGATAAGTTAGGATTTATAGTGCCATACTGGTCGTCATTGTGAGCTATATTTTCTGTCATTAAAGTTCCGCTTCAAGTTTAATCTGTTCGATTTTATATATAAAGTTTCTTTCTTCGCCTCTATTATGTGATAATTTCCATGGGCAGGAGGTTTGGACATATTGGTGAAGTGTCCTTTAGCTCTAGAGGTGAACAAATAGGCTCAGGTAACACAACACTTCTTAGAACCACGTATGCTTACAGTTTATCAAAGTTTAGGTTGTAGAAATTCTGTACCTACTGTGGAGTACGGATGTTTTGAAGCTATTTTGCTGAATACTTCTTTCCATTTGGGCCTTGCAAAATGCGTCCTTACCTGCAGTAGAATTAGTTTAATTAATACTAGCTGGAGAACGATTCACTTCAAGTTTATTTCTCTCTATTCTGTGTTGTGGTTGAAGACTTCTCATGAAATTTAGCAGCTTTCGAGTAATAGAAAATTTCTGTATCTAGAACATGGCACTCTTTAAGCTAAGCTGAAAACTGTTCTTTCTTATATGTTTCTTTTCCATTGCTGTTTTAGAGGGTTTGGTTGAGAGTGGTGATGGATCATACCTGGGTGCCAGATAGGATGTCAACACCATGTTTTGCATGGTTGAGCGCCTGGACCATAGTGATGAGAGTTGACCTGGCATCGCCCTCTTCATAAACACTCGTTAGATAATTGTGCATCTCTATCAGACCCTGTTTCATTGAAATCATCAGAAAAGATATAGCTGAGCCAGTTAGTTATAGATCATAGCAGAATCCCAGANTGTAACAAATCTGTGTACATTACTTTGTGATCCATTTCGGCCACTTCATTCATCACCCCTTTAAACCACTCAAAGGATCCAGGTTCTCTGGTAACCCAATAAAAATGTGCACTTTTTGTCCTTATTGATTTCTTTTTTCCACTTGATGCCGCGCTTGAAGAGGCATAACTTGTCCAGCTGTCATCTGATGCGCTGGTCTCAGTATTCGAATCCTAAGGTAGCATCATGGACAGAGAGACTGTAAGTTGGAGCCTTAACATTCTACTTGGTTAGTTCTAAATTAACTTGAAGATAAATTTGTACCAGTTGTTCTTCTGATCTTGAATTGTTCAATAGATCCTTTAGGATACTTATAAAAGGGGTAGCTCCAATACCAAGTCCCACAAGGAGCAAGACATCATAATTTTGATAGTCCTGTGCTGCGGCACCATATGGTCCATCAACAAGCAATCGAGGTAAACTGCATCATTATAAGCCCTTTAGACTTCTTAATAAGGAAATCTCAATTATAAGGTGTGACTGCAAAAATCACATAGAGGAGTTTTACCCTCTTTGATCAACATTCCCGCGTTCTTCAAACTTTGCCCGCCCGATTTCACATGCTGAACTATCATCCTCTGTGAAAACCCGCTTAAGTTCGTTCGTCCAATCTCCTACAATGCGGATGTGAACACTGAGGTAGTCATCTCCTGGTGCTGATGTTATAGAAAATGGATGCCTGGAGAAACATCATTATGTTAAATGCCTGTTGGTGGAGGCATGATTAGCTTAAATGCAGAAACACCGCACTTACCATTCAAATGAGGAGATTGTTGGGCACTGCAGGAATATGTATTGCCCACTCTTGTATTTGAAACCATTTGGCTTTGACAGGGTTAGGCTAAAGACATCTCCTGGAAGTACAGAAACCTGTAAAGACCAAAACAAAAACCATGTTCATTGCTTGTTAAAAAAAAGAAAAGGAAAACCATCTTCATTGATTTCCTGTTTTGTTTTTCCCTTCATCCACGTCTTGTTATCTCAGTCATTTTTTTTCTTTACTACTGTCTTGGGGGGTGGATGTCATTAGGAACCAGATGCTTGCGTTATCTCTAGGAATACGGGACTGCAAATTAAATAGAAAAAAGCCTACCATAACTCAATGATTTTATATATGTTGAGTATCTCTTGACTTTGAGTTTGCTTAATTGTAAATTTACTCAGTGATCTTAGTTCCTCAATAGACGATTGTGAAAAATGTTGTGGTGCTGGTGGTTGGAATGTGTGAGTTTTTGATTGATTTCTGACGGTGCTTGATGGTCATGTTTATGATACTGGACAGTATGGCATGGGATAAGAGAAACTCTGTTGCTTTATGAAGTAGCTGATTGAATATATGGTTTTGCTGCGGTATTTGGATCGTTTCATCTGCCCTATATTTGTGAACCTCAGTGCATGTTTCCTTTTTGTTTTTAAATTTCTTCTAAAGGGGTATTAAGCTGTGTTGACACCATTGGAGAAAGCTGAATTGGTGAGGGGCTGTAGACAGGGAGGCGAGTAGCAGGTTTTAGTTGCAGCTTATTTGTATGCAGAAAGGAGTCTTCTTGTGTAATTTCTGTTTAGATGGAAAAACAACATTGATAAAGCCAGTCACCTTCAAAATCTTTGCTGTGTAGTGTTCTGATCGACATGTTCTCAAACTCCTCTCGGCTACATAGAGGAGCAACGGCATGGAGATGTACATCCATGTCTGCAAAATGTGAAACATATTGTCAGCTTATCAATCTTTAGGTCCTATAAAGGAACTTGGTGTTCTATGTCCTTACTGTTTTCTGCCACCATTGGTGAACCAAGAACAAGAACGTTCCATGTACTATTAGGAGTACGTAGACCACTGCTAGAAGGTGATGAGAATACCAAAATGCGTTGAAGCCTGTTAATCGATTGAAAGGAGGTGGCAGCTTCAATACATTTCTCCTGAAGCCTCGTGTTGCTAGTGTGAAGACAATTGCCATCAAAATAACCATAGCAATGCCAGTAACACCTTCAATGCCGGTCAAGAGGCTTTTGAAAGTGGGCTTTACGTTGTCAAAATCAGAAGCTATTAGTGCAAATTTCTCAGGAGATGAGTTAATCAGACGAGGAAAATCACATGCTAAATGGTTTCCCGCATGAAGCAAGATTCCAACTGCAATGGCATACGCAATAATCTGCCAATTGAAACAACATTGTTAAGATCGAGAAATTCTCAGGTGCACAGTATGTTCTCTTCTTGTTGTAGTTTACCTTGTGAAAATTGATATTATCATCAAAAGGAACAAGGAGCTTGGCCCTAGTAGACCTTAGCCAAGTTAAAATGTTTCGGCAAACCGGTAGAAGGACAAGTGCCATGTTGAGTTTGAGAGTCTCTGCAGCTCCTTTAGCAGTTGCCAAGCAGTAACCCATAACTTGAAATGCAGCTCTTCGCCTATACTGCAAAAATTTCCAGGTGAAAAGTCCAGCCATAATCATCACCCATAGCAACAGAATCCAGGCCCTTTGCCAGTTATCTAAGACAAGGCATTTGAGTCCATAACTTGCTCTCTTTACTAGGTTCCTGGTCTTGCTACGAGTTCCTAAGTTCTGACTCCATCCGACGCTTGTTGTGCTTAATGGTCTGCTGTAATTCATGTAATTGTCTCTTTGCAGAAGAAGTGTTTCCAACTGCCATAACTGAAAGGAAAGGGAACATGAAGTTGTTTTGCCAAACCATTTGGCTAAGCATTGAAAAGTACTCGCTTCATTTCATTTATATGATAGTGTTTGATTGGACAAAGATTTTAAGAAAGAATGAAGTACTTCTGGTAAATACTAAAATTACCCTTAGAGCTTACAATTTTAAACATGTCATGATATCTCAATGCCTATAAAAATGTCGGTAACGATACAATGAGAGGTTTAATGTTAAAAGTTTCTAAACATGGTGTTTTCTTTTCCCAAAGTAAATTAAAAGGAAAGAGTGTAACAAAATTGAATAGAAGAAGCATTTTAGTCACTGCTTTTGTATTTTGACCTTATGATGATTTTAGTTTTGCTATCCTACCATCAAGTGGTTTTTTTTGTCTTTCAAGAATCGTATGATTATGTAATTCATATTCCTATTATAAAATTGTAGTCAGATAACCTTTTAAGCTTATCCAGAACTGAACTAGGGGAAACCAGCTGCACTAATTTTGAATGATTTTTAAGTATTGTATAGAGAAGAAACGAGGAGAGCTCTGATTCCTTTCCCTAATTTCCTAAATCCAATTTTTTCTTAAAAAAGTTCTAGTGGGCCCCAAAGTCCAAATACAGTGCAAGGATTCCCTATGTTTTGACTTCGACTTGGCCGTCCAAAAGAAGTTCGTGCCAAGTACTTACCCAAAAAAATATGATCGTGGGTCCAAATATGTACAAGTCATTGTTAGGACAAGACAGCTACTAGAAACGTAGATTAGATAAAATATTTTTTTAATAATATGGGGTCTCAAATTCATTTACTCCAATTTTGATACCGCGTTTGAACTTTTTAAATGAGAATTTTTTCATTTTCATTTCGAAACCTCTGATTAAAATGGAATGATTCATTCCATCACATTCCTTAACCGTCGATTATCGATCAAATGTTTGGTTGGTATTGTCTGTTAATATTCTGAGGAACAAGATATTATTACCTCAATGTAACCAAGATCATCAGGGTCCAATTCCTCCATAATTAGAGAAGCATACTCGGCTGCACGTTCCTTCAATTTCGACAACTTATTTGCGGAAGCACTCAGCATGATTAGCTGTTGGAAGAACAAAATATAAAATACGATGAGAATCCTTGTAGGAAACAGTATTATTAACATTAAATATTCCTTCTCCATAAACATATCTTATTCTGTTTCACAATACTATAAAGTAGTATTATTATTTACTAACAATAAAGTAATGTTTTTCCCGAATTATTGAAGATGCCCCTATCTCCAATGGATGCTGGACAAATATAATATAGTTTGACCTAAATTTAAACCTTTTTAAATTTGATTCAGCAGTTAACCCATGATAATCTTACCTCTTGCACTTCATCTCTCGTGATTTTTCCATCTCCGTTTCTATCCGCCCTACAAAAGTTACACGTAACATCCATTAAGCAAAATGTTAAAAAGAATAAAATGAAAGAACACAGGATAGTTAAATACATAATTTTAGTTTTACCTTTCTTCCACAAGCGCTGAGGGTTCTTTTTTCACATTATTTTGTTGTTCGTTTCTTTTTTGTTTTCCAACATTAAATCTTCAAGATTCTTCATAGAATGAATATAGGATATATGTTTTAGCATAGAAATTTGTGTTGTTTTTTTCTTTGTCTTTTTTCTTTTTCTATAATGAAGTGGATTATTAAATTATCAATAGAGTTTAAGTTATAATCTTTTTGTACCATTAGGTCACTTTTACATATTGTAAATATGTGTTGTTTTCAAGATTATGAGTCTCATATTTTAAGGTGGCTTACCTCTAAATATCCTTGCAGTGGACTGAGTTAATTCTTCAAAAAATTATTTATACTGAAGATATATATAACTTAAAAAAAAGTGAGTACAGCAGTCGCTAGAAGAGTACTTAGCTGGATGAAAACATGCAGTAATAGTTAAATCATGTAAGGTGCAAATGCAACTTCTGAACTGTAAATTATATTGCAATCTCTTTTTCTTAAAAAAAAAATAATCAGGCTATCAACTTATCGGATGCACGGTCACATATTAAACCACAGATAAAATTTATTTTACGTAACAAGAAGTGCACCAATCATAACCAAGTTTAGTTTAGATAGTGTCTTTACCGTGCATGTAAATCTAACTTAAATTCTTATTTAATAGTAAGAAAAAAGGTTACTTTTTCGTGTTGAGAAAATAATGCATGTTTTGGAACAAATTAAAGTGGATAAAAACAAAACCCAAAGAAAAAGTGGAAAGGCAAGAGTAAAGTAAAGAGAACCCACATGTCAAAGAAAATCTGAAGACGAGCGTCAAAACTTTGGTCAGAAATCTGCAACCAAAATTCATGAAGCTCAGCTTTCGTTATCTTCGCCGTTTTTTGACGCCGCCGCCGTACCAGTGCATCAAAAACCCCCACTGCGAACTCCTTCGAATCCGTCATTCCTGCACATGCACCGCCACACCAATATTCATTATACTAATTAACACTTATATCTTTATAGTAAATAATATTTTCATTTCAGTAAAACTAATTTCATACACTACAAAATTTCAGAAAAACAATAAATGGCATTCATATGGTTTACATGAATTGAGAACTTTGAATGTACCAATGCAATCACCAAAATCTTCTCTAGCAAGCAAACCGTCTTTTGCCAAAGCATCAAACCGCGCCTCCACTTTTTTCCATTGCACATTCGTATCAGATTCACCTGTTGTTTTACTTATGAATCTTAATCCTCCAAGCGCGCGCTGAGCCGTTGATTTACTCCTTACAAGCTTCAATTTCGATTTCATCTCTTCTCGTGCAGATAAGGTGTTTGTTGTATTGTTATGATTACTGTTATGATTATAAAACTGAAAATGATCATCTTCTGATGGCGCCGCCGACGTCCGTGACCTCACTGACGGCGATCTGATCCACGAGAATTTCCGGCGAAGTTTCGACGCCGCTGACGCACTACGTGCTAAAAATCCGTTGGGAGCTTCTTCTTCACTTCCATTACCTTCTGCATTGTGTGACGGTGTTGGTGCAACGCTACACAAAACAATTGAATTATCATCCAATTCTAGCGTAACTTCCACTAAATCCTGCAGGTCGCTGTTTTGCCGCAAATCGTTGAGGAAAATCGGTAGCATTGCTCCTCCGACATACTCCGGCCCGGTTTCGAATATCTCCGTCGCCGGCGTATCTTCCGGTAAGTCAAAGTTCCTACTGTAAGTCGATCGCTTTGAACTGCAGCTCCCAAATGATGATGATCTTAAGAATTGTTTGAGCTGCATTTTTTTTTTCTGAATACAATAGTAAAACCAAAATAAATTATCAGCTCATAATAGAGCTTGAATTTTTTACTAAATAGAGAAAAAAGGCTGAGATCACACGCTTCGTTCCGAAATGTTCTTAAAACAAACACCTCTCAACTGATCTCTGAACACGAATTCAACGCTTTTTTAGTTAAGCATTGCCAGTCTCTCTCTCTTTCAATTTCACATTGGTGCCATGTCGAAAGCGAGATAGAGAGAGAGAGAGAAAGAGGAAAAAAAGTAGTTGGGGTTTGTTCAAGAAAGCTCTATAAAGAATAACCTACGATTAATAATATATTATCACATAACTACATTGTACTATTCTCTATTACTGTAAGGGGTCGTTTGGTACGGTGAATAAAATGTATTAATAATGCAACCATTGATTATGCAGAGATTATTTCTTATCCATTGTTTGGTGTGTTGTGTTAAAAATTAAAATTCATTGCTTAATTTTTTAAAAAATTAGTTGTTTACAAAAATGTCCTCCATGTTCTTTAGCTTTAAAGGGCTCTAAGGATGGCTTTGTCTTTAACCATGCTAATTAATGCATGAATTAATAGCATTGGTATTGCTAATACCATGGTTTACTATGTATTAGATATACATAGAATAATGCCAAATAGGTTTTGTAACTAATACTTGCATTAGTAATACGTAGGTTGAAAAAGTGTACCAAACAAGGGATTAGTAATAGTACCAAAAGCTAATGTATGCATTATTTTCTCTAATGCATCCTACTAAACGAACCTTAAAGGTTCGTTTGGTAGGGAATGAGTTATTCAGGCATTATAATACGGAGATTAAATAATGACTAGGATTATTTAATAAATATATTTTTATTGAAAGATGTTTGGTTTATTAAATTAAAAACGAGATATACGGGATATAATATAAACATATATTTGGTGTATACTAAATAAGTTGGGATAAACTTTTATTTTTGATTTTAATTTTGAGTTGTTTTAAAGACTTATTGGGAAGAGCTAGGAGAAGGGCATCTTTGTCATTTTAGTGTTTATTCTGGGATTAATTAATCTTGAAATTATTATCTCACCCTCAATGTGGGATAAAATAATATCTAATTATCGGATTAATTAATCTTGAAATTAATTGCTAATTTCAAATTAAAAAATTCAACCAAATGTGATCTCGCATCTAATTCCAGATTATTATCCTCTTATCCTAGGTACCAAACGACCCCTACGAATATTGTTCATATGAGAAGTTACCGGTAAACTATCGTTGTACATTTCTAACATAATACCCACTACGTATCTACCATTTTCCTTTTGTTGATTTTTTACTAACTCGTCATACTTGGTTAATTGATTTCTAAGGTTTTTACTAATTAACGATATCGCTATATTAAGAGGGTACACAAGATGAAATGCAAATTACGTGGAAGACTCCTTAATTAGGACACGACATGCGAATTAAACTAAGTAGGTAAAATGTAACTTTGAAGAGTGTTACCTCATGTGACACACCCATATTACGTCCATAGAATTACACGCGTGTTAGAAAAACAATTCTAGAATTAAAAGAAACTCCATCTATTTCTTTCTCCTTTCAAAAATCAATTCTTGGAGTTCCTACTAAAATCATAAGAGATTATTGATGCATATATTTTTTTAGAGCTTAAATTTCATAATGTGATAGAGTAAGAGAATCGATATCAATATCAGGTCACTTAAAATATAACTATATAGTAAGTATTATTAATAACCTAAAAAATTATGTAGGTAATCTGCTAGAAAAGATTATACTATTAGTATAACTTAACATGCGATATTAGGTTTGTCACCAATTTTATCGGAATACCAATCACCGTTAGTACATATGAAGTAAACTCTAAGATAAATCTATTATGTTATTGTGGATGATATCATGGGCAGCATGGTGTACTAAGTATTTCGTGTTCACGCAGGATCCGGGAAAGAATCGCACAAAGTGTCTCATGTTCACATCTCGTATAATGTTGACAGCTCATGTAAACACGAAATACTTTGTGCAATGGACTCCTGGTGATGTCGTTCACGATAACAGAATAGTGACAACATCACAACATAATAAAAGAAATAGGAAAAATTAAAAGAGAACTCAAAGGCCCATAATAAGTATCAAAATAAAGATAAAGATGAATGCGCCAACTTGATATTTTTGTATTATTGCCATAAAAAAGAGCTTTCGGATTTTCCAGAAAAGATGGGATAAGAACTTCCTAAATTTAAAACTTTGGTGAAGCCTAAGAATAATTTGATGAAACCTTCAGCTAAAACTACGGCATCTGCTGCGCCACATGGGTTTGGGGGAATTGGAAGAACTTAATTTCTATGTTATAATCAACTAAATTTAGCTGATAATTGAGCTGGATTAAGAAACTCTAATTATTAGTATAAGTTAATGACAGTACTTAAGAGAGGGTCTTCTATCTATTAAATTTTGTTGGGAACAATAATATTAACTGAATAGTATTTGACATTTTTGTGGTAGAGGGAGAGACAAGGAACAGCCTAACGACAAGCCTGAGAATTTTTAAGTTGAAGTCAAATTAGTGAAAATAAATTAGAGGTGTCTATCTCACTTACCGGGATTTGCCGATTTCCTCTACCACTCTCATATTCGTTCTCTCTTTCTTTGCATGTTCCAAATTTTAATCCTTTTAATTAAAATTTAGGTTTTGAAATTTTTTATCTGTTTTTTTTTTAATATAACATTTTGGTATCAATTGGTCCGACGACTCCAAATTCAAGTCATAAAAGCAGGCAAAGCAATGACTGCGAGAATAGTAAGAATAACTTTAGGGCTAAAAGCAGCAATAGTTATTCTCTTAATAATTAATAATATTGAGGCAATTAAGATGCATATGTAACCGTAAATAACTCAGACATTTTGCGTTCATTCAATTTACAACTACAAGTTTGACTATTTACGATTAAATTCTCCAACATTATGTTCTACACAATTTTCCTAACCACGTTTTCCTTATAGAGTAAAACGAACTCCTACCCTACACCAACTCGATAGATTAACCAAATAGTTATTACACTTAAAAAAAGGGAGAACGTATCTAGATTTTTGTTTATTTATCAAATTAAGGAATGTATTTAGATTTTTGTTATTGGATAGTTGTTAAAAATATGATATCAATCAATTTAACGATCAATGTGTCTATATTACATTAAAAAGAAATGGAGGAACGTAACAATGTATCATATGTGGAACCATTTTGATTTTCAAATATTTCTGTGTGGGCAGTTGGGGTGATTATTGTTATAATTTGATATATACTAGCAACGTTTTTTGAAATAATTATGTTGAAATTAAACTTTCTTATTACGAAAGACATGACAAATTTGAACAGAAGGTGGCTTTGACAGCATCAAGAATTAGTTAAATCAAACAACTAACTACTACGAAACTCCTTTTGAAAACTATGGCTACCAAACTAAAAAGTTTTTTAGTATGCTCCGATTATGATCAACTTTTGAGTAATTTTTTATACTAATATCATAGTCATAGCCAATCATATATATATTTAGACTAAAGACTGCCAATTAAATAATTACTCCTCCAGCTTTAATATCCGTGTCTTCCACTCTGACCTCCCCCAAGTTAATGCTACCCAATCCTCCTTCTAGACACTGGTTGGTAGCTTACCACAGTGTTACGCATATACAGTCAAACCTCTCTATAATAATTTTGAATTTTTTTTATTATTATAGTAAATTATTATTATATATAACATATATTATAATATGACATAAAAAATTGACCGTTATAGTAAAGTACTATTATAGAGGATTATGACTTTCAAGACTCCTTGGGCGAGGGGGCGGGTGTACTCATCCCTCATCTAAGATGATGATTATTATTTCCTATGTTATCGAGAGAAAAAAACTAAATTAAAAAAATATAAACAAAAAGAATAGCACAAGGAAACGTCAATGCATACGAAATTCAGTAAATTGAATAAACATATGTGGATAGTAATTAGTACTAACTTTTATAAATCATTGCACATATAGTAATTACAATTATTCAGGGCTAGCTTATTACCTGGTTATTGTCAGCATATACCCTGGCTTAATATTTGAACCATAACATGCCTTTAATTTGACTTGAAGGATAATAAGGAAAACCAATGAACTAAATAGTTGTGAAGAAAATGCCTAGCAAAGTTACGGCTAAGGAATAGACAAAGGTCGTGTTGTACTTTCCTTCTAGAAATCCTACCAACACTATATGTTTTCTAGTACTACATTTCCAATTATTCTGGCTGGTCTGGTACTCACCACCAATTAAGGACCAAGTAATATCTTCTTTTTTAATTTTTTTTATCTTGCTTATTACTCTCTCCGGTCCACTTTAATTTATTTTTTGGCTGGTTTCATACATATTAAGGAATTTCCCTTTTAGCATTAATTAATAATAAAATTGACCATATTAACCTTAATTTGTGCATTAAAAATATAATAGATACTTCATAGGAAAAAATGACACTGTATAGCCGCTGCAAAAACAATAAAACAAAAATTATATAAAATTTGTATATTTTTGTATATATATACATTCTGTATGTTATATACAAAATTATACAAGTTATACACTTTTTCGGCTACCAGATGTAAATAGTTTCTGGCACGGGTTAAAAGTGATAATAGACTCTATACTCCAAGGACGACTTTGAAAAAAGGAAGTAATTCATTCTTGATTTATAAAAAATCAAATATTATGGACCACAAAAAAAGGCCAAAAAATCAATTAAAGTGGACAAAAAAGAATAGTACTTAATTTATTTCTTCTTCTTCTTCTTTCCCGGATAATAACTACCCAATGTGGGAATTTCAACACGTGAGTTTACTTTTACTCTAACGTTAGAAAGCAGTAGAATAATATGATCAACTTGGTAATTCATATATTAAAAGAGTCTTTTATCGATGTTGATGATTTTAATCAATTGATTTTATTTAAATTAATCAGATTCAAGGTTCCGCTGCCCACATTAAACCTATGGACTAATACTAATTTGCGTCTGTCTATTCTTAATTAGTTGATCTCGTAAATTACTTAAATTTAGTTGCAATGTCAACAAAAACAGACCCAATTAATAATGTCTCATCTGGTGAACGACTGCTAACTAATTTTAGTTTATATTTCACCACCACTAATAAGATTGGCTAAATATATAGTATTATGTACCAACTTATACATGTGGAAGCCTAAGGTAGACGAGTCATTAGAG